AAACTAACACACCGCAGCCTTAATTCCAGTCTGTTCTTTTTATTTAAAAAAGGTAACGTATTAAAATAACCTTCAGATGTAGAAACCAAAGCACTTAAACCAAACCCCAGGGTTTGAAGAACCTGAATCCCTGCGGAGACCACAGCTGCCAGCTGCCAGCACGGCAGCCAGGCCTGACCCCCACCACAGCGCACGGCCCCCCTGTTGATCACAGGTGAAGGGCAGAGGACACTGGCAACGTGGCACACAGGAGCCACAGGATCACAGAACACCCTGAGTTGGAAGGGACCCACAAGGCCTATCAAAAAGTCCAACTCCTGCCTCTGCACAGGACCACCCCAAGAATCACATCGTGTGCCTTGAGAGCATTGTCCAGGCACTTCCCAAGGGCCGTGTGCATCTGTCCCATCGCTCTCAAGCAGAGATCTTTGGGCTCCTGTTACAGAGAACGCTGCTTTGCATGCCGTGTTAGGAAAATTACTTTTTTATTGGTTGTAGTATAAAAGTAGAACTAAAGATACATTGTAAATGAGGTGTGAAACTGTCCAATACTTGCCAAACCAGCTAGGTTTTAGTCCAGTTAAAGAGCTCCAGTTGCGTTGTAGCCCAGCTCTGCTTATCTGACTCCATGCCAAGTTACCAAAATTCTCTTTGCTTCAGCATCTGAAAAATGGGGATAACAATACCAGCCTCTGGAAAGCAGGTCTGTGGAAGTAAAACAGGGCATTTCAGCTCTATGCTGTAAATAGCCTGGATATGAAATTCTGCATTGCTGGAACCTATATGAATTCAGCAGTCATGTTTCTAGAAGATAGTGTGAGATTTACATTCCTTTATGCCAGCAAAAATTCAGTGTTTGGAGGGGTTCGGGTATTGGGGAAAACCAAAGCAAAAAAAAAAAAAAAAAAAAGAATAAAACATATTACCAACAGCCTGGAAACGCCTGCCAGAAAAACTTGTATCTGTCTTGATGGCTCTCAACAGATTTTCTGGCATCAACTCCCTACCCCACAGCTACAGCTAGGAAACCAAAATGCCAGCTTGTGTTAATGTTTGGAGTTTCCTGGAAAGCAAAAAAGCCAAGCAGGCACTCGTGTGACAGGATATTTGCTGTGTAAGCCTGGGTTAGAGCCTGTCTGCAGAAACAGTAGACTCTTCTGGGGCCTGTGGCACCTGCCAGCCCCACTGTCTGCCATTTGCAGAATGCCTGGGTACAGGCAGGTATCTGGTGGGTTCAGTGGCCAGTATTTCATTACTTATTTTTCATTTCTATGGCTATTTGAATATGCTAGCATAAGAAATGCAGAAATTTTTTGTCTGAATGACATGAGATGTTGATATAAATGTTAACTATGGGGATGCATATGCACAGGAAGAATTTGTCTAGGCATGTCAGAACAGCATAGCTAATCTACTCTCTGTATCCAGTAGTGGTTGCATTGAGATGCTTCACAGAATGGGACAAGAACCTTATGTGGATCTCATTCAGAGCTCCAGTAGTATACCCTAACTAGATGCATTCATGTCTTTTCAGTCTGTGATGTACTGTAAATATCTCTCTTGGAACTCAGAGTCTTAGAAACTGTCTTATAGCTTGAATGCTGTATTCTTCCACCTGATTGAATTCTCAAATTCTCTCTCCCCATATGCAGGAATAATTCTTTTTAACGTGCTATTGTTTAAATTTACAGGCTTTTGGTTTTATTGTTGTATTTAATTACAGCAAGACATTTAAGGTAGATATTCAACATTAGTGTGGTTGTCAAAGGGGAGCAGCTACAGCAATGCTATGCATAATCATTCACTGGGCTGATTAAAATGTATGTGGCAGAATAGGTGTCAGCCTGTCAACAGAGTACTTTCCCTCTGGTCTTTTCTCATTTCCCTCTCTTTTGACTCAGTACAGAACCACTAGGGCAATGCTGACCAAAACTCTGACCCCCTGTAGAGGAAAACACAAAGATTCATAGATTTGGCAGTATGTTACTTGTGTTATTCTAGGGATTCGTATGCTGGTAAAACTAGTGGTTAATATGCCAACAGTAAAATGTGCACATGGGATACTGTCAGTAGCATGGAGTTCATCAGAAAGCCACTTACTTAACTGTATTAATCTTTCTTTTACAGGCAGGAGAAAACCCAGGAGTCAGTCTGTCCAGGCACACACTGCTTTAAACCAAAGGCCCCCAGCTTCAAGTCACTCTGGACCAATTGTAGAAAGCCGCCAGCCTTTCATCCAAACATCTACATCTGCTCACGAAATTGCCCAAAGGCTTTCTAGTAGTCAGCTGTCATTCCACAATTCAGCAACATCTGTGTTTTCCCAGTCCCCTGCTGTTCCTGTTGCTGGCCAGCTGACTGTGCAGGACCGAGCTGCAGCAATGCTCAGGTCCAGTCTGGCCTCTTCCACCAGCTCAACTCTCAGCTTGCTGTTCGGCAAGAGAAGTTTTTCAAGTGCTTTGGTGATTTCTGGGCTCTCAGCTGCAGATGGAGGTAACACCAGTGACACCCAGTCATCCAGCAGTATGAATATTGCCATGGGTCCTTCTGCTAGAGCAGCAAGTCAGGCGGCTCGGGTAAGGCTGAAGCCAAAACAGCGGCACTAAGCGTGAGCTCCTGTACTGCTCTGCCATCCCATTCTTCAGCTATTTGGTTTCTCTTCCTTCTCACTGGTCAGAAAATAGGTTTTTTTCCAGAACAATGTCAGGATTTTGGTATTTGTTTTGGATTTTGCTGCATCACAATGAAAATGAGACTGTTTAATATTAGTGTGTATATGAAAGTGAGCGTATTTGTAAGTAACTGACAGGTTGGCTGTTCCTCACACACCTGAAATTGCAAACTAGGTCCCTTTTTTTCACTCAAAAGTGAGTGGGAAAAAAAAGTCCCTTTCTTTCACTCAAATCAGGGACTTAAATCTCCATGTTCTGCAGCCCAGGTGCTGAGTACCATCATAAGCAAACTGAATAGCTCCTTTCTTGCCTGCTTATGCAGGAATTAAATTTATTTGTAGGAAGAGGATTGGTCCCCCCTGAACAGGACACTTGTTCTTGTCCCCCTCACTGACCAGAAGTTCAATCCAGGACCTGAAATCTTGTTGCTGAAAGGAATTTTGTAGGAACTATTTACCAAAGGAAACCTGTGTGCCCTGTGATTAAACAGTACACACAAAGAACTTTCAGACTTTTTCCCAGTAGGCTCCCAGTTTGATTCCCATCTTCCCTGGAAAATTCAATGCACATAGTAGTATTATCCTTTTACTGTCTACGTTAGTATATTCATTTAACTTTGGCTGACATCAGTTGCTGTCCTGAACTTTGAAAATTTGACCTCAGCACCAGAGAGCAGAAACGTGAGAAGATGGGCTAGAGAATGAAGGGTGACTGGGACTAGACAAGACAATTAGACACTCACATTTGGCCTATCAAAATGAAAACCAAACTGGTAACAGGGGAAGACTGGATATCAAAGTCCAACTCACTTTTCTGTTACTGTTCTATCATTCTGAACCGTGTATAACTTCCCTAGTTTCCAAATAATTCTGCAAACCTCAACTGAAAAAACCTCCTTAGCCTGTGTGTACTTTGCTCTCAACCCAAAAATACCATGTATGGTACAATTCCCTAGAGTTTTGCCATGAACTTCTGCAGGAGTTGACTAAACATTACTCATCTGGGTCCAATCCTGCTTTGTTACTGTAATAAGCATTAAAAGTATTTCTACACGTCCAGCTGAACATATCAAATGACAAGGCATAATTGCGTCTCTCAAGAGTTTATGGCCTAATTTGCAAGAACTCAGCCAATTCTGCAATACTGAGCACTAACTGTGGGATTCACTTTATCTTACTTTAAGCCATTTAAAATTTGGGAATAAAGTCTCAGTAGATTATTGTTGTTGAGGCTTCAATGAAGAGGCCAATCCACTTCATCCTTAGAGCTATTAGGAGCAAATTTTCCCCCGGGAGAATCATATCTCTCTGCCAACAGTTGGCAGTCTAAATGACACACTAAGGTTACATGGCTAAATTTAGATGAGGTGAATCCTGGATAGAGTAACTGCTGAGAGTCCAGGTGCCTGTTTGATTCAAAGCAGTAAATAGGAAGTGTTTTATTTAAATGTTAGCACAGCACAGTTCTGGAATGCTTTTATACCAATGGACTCCTTACAGTAGGGTGGCACCATGCTTAACGTTTTCAGACTGATAATTGCATTCTAGTTTTGATGAAAAGCTTTCTTTTTAAGTTGGATTTAAAATCTGGTGTATAAAGCAAGCCCCAGAGCAACCCAATTTAACAACTTAGAAGTCAGCCCTGCTTGGAGCAGCAGTTTGGACTGGATGACCTCCAGAAGTCCTTTTCAATCCAAATTATTTTACAGCTCTCTATACACGTACATCTGTGGTACTAAACCTCTAGCTCCTGGTCTGCTTTTCCTTCCAAATTTATGCGTTACACAAAGTGTGACAAGTACCTCTTCAGAAGTCCCTTGTGAATAATGCATGTTAAGAATCCCATGGAGTTTCACAGAATGACATTCCTACATCAATTTTTAACTTTTTTTTTTTTTCACCTGTCATTTCAAAAAATAGCTGAAGTGTTACTTAGAAATTTCTTAAACTAGTTGACTTTTTCTTTCTTTCTTCCCAGCAACACGCTGAGACCTGTGAAGCAACCGATGCTGCAGAACCCAGACCACAGCGAGAGGCAGGTCCGGTCCATGCCGTATTCATGAGTCGGAACCTGGAGTGCAGAAGGGCCAGCCAAGAAGATATGGCCCTGGAAGACACTGCTTCTCAGCAAAGCCTGTCTGAGGAGCAGTAGGGAGCATTCCCAGCACAAGGGCCACGCGCTTCTTAGGATTAAATAAGGACAGAGTTAGGTCAGGAAGCTGCACGTGGGTTTAGGTTCTTTCAAATGTAATAAGCAACCTTCAAATGTTTATTTTTCTAACTTCTACACAAGAATACTACAGGGCAGATGCTCTTCAGCTAATGGCCTTCGCATGGGTAGGGTTGGAAGATATCCTAAAAAACACACAGTGCCACTTCATCTCAGGTTCTTGTAAATCCTAGAACAATGAATACAACCTGTTTAACGTTCCTTCCCCTGGAACGGTTAGAATCACAAATGAATACAGTAGGAAATATTAATACAACTCAGTGAAAAGCACACAAGACATCTCTTTCCTGCCATAACTGAACAGCTGATTGCATGCAAACTAACTGAAATTTGATATATAACATATAGCAAAAGGCAACTATGAACAGAAGCAATGAATACAGAAAAGGACAGTACAACGTGCTGTAACATTAGAGCTAAATCTGATTTTTTTTTTTTTTCCAACAGTAAGTCTCTTATTTTTCCTTTAACATGTTATGCAGGTGCTAACGCTGAAGAGCAACATAGCATCACAGACGTATATACTGCATGCAGCCATACTGAAATACTGTGTCAACGAGCCATGCTACACAGATTAACAAAAGTCAAGTGTAAGAAAAGAAAGTATCCAGTGCATGGAAAGTCTTCAAAGCATACGGTGCACCTTATTTGCAAAGCAGCTTTGCATAAATTAGGTATTATCTTGCGTTCCTGTTTGATTTACAGCAGTGTTTCTCAAATTCCAAGGAACGGTGCCCTTAGGAGTTGCAAAAGAGCCCAGGGGAATCCTTGAGGAGGACAGGAGAGTGCAAAGTAGGCTGTAATTATTGTCTGGAAGTGTTTGTGTTAGGAAGGGAACAGTTAAATGCCTTTAATTGCTGGACACAGCTCAGTGTCCATAAACACTCGTAGCCAGTAATTACAGAACCCTCCGATTTCCCTCCCCCACAGAAACTGAGCTGCTGCCAATTTAATAGTGGCACAAAGACAGATGATGCAAAAAGGGAGGCCATGCTTTCACAAGGTTTGAGAAACACTGATTTACAGGAATGCATGACTATTTTGGAAGGCAAAAGGCTACAACAAATCCTTCCTCCACTACTGAATCTAAACACACATGGGTGTGTTCTTTTTTTTTTTTTTTTTAATTAAAAAAGAATTGCAGCTATCGGTGTCTTGCTGTTCCTCTTTACTGTAACTACCATAGATTGTTTCTAAATCCCAACACGATGACGTGCAGCCAGGCTGTCTTGTCCCAATTAACAAGAGAGACTTAACAAGAGATGCTGTAGCTAAGTCTCATTACTGTTAGGCAATACTCAGTTGCATTCTGATCTTCCTACTGTGCCACACTTCAGATCTGAGTAGTAGAACTAAGTAACACCGAGTGAAAATAAAATGATTCAAGTACGTTTTGTGTGACAGCAGTTTTTGGGTCTTCTTTTCCATTTGGAATTGTTTGCACTTGCTTTCTGCCTTACAAAATTAAGAAATCTCTTGTTTTTATTTCACTTCAGGTCTTGATGAATTGATTATTTATAAAGCTCAACACAACCTAGGACAAATTCTGCCCATGTCCACAAGGGCAAAAGCAGAGTATCCATGCCTTCTGAGACACATGGTCATCAGTGCAGTTCAGGTCCTCTTCCTGTCTCCTCTAGCATCCAGACATGATGTGGAAAAGGAAATTGAATTCAGCTGCTCCCTTCTGACCAGTTCTGGCAGATGATGACTCTTGCCCCACCACCCTGTTCATTAAGTGCTTCATTACAAATGAAGGCTGGAGGTTATACAGGTAGGTGGAGGGTCTTACTAACAGCCACCAGCCCTGTTTCTGCCTTGGGGGCTTTTGCATGGCAGTTCACATGACAAACCGTCACAGCTTTGTCTTCCTGCATGGAGGCAGGGCAAACAGGGGGCTGTGGAAAGCAGTAACAACTTTCCCATATTCACTTAACCTAACTTAGGCCTCCAATTTTCACATCTTTAAGTCTGAATTAATTCCCATCAAAAATCATCCCAATCAACCAAAATTATTCTATGTATCCAACTCAAGCATACTAAACCAGATCAGGAAATGGGTGCAGAAATACTTTCAATAGCAAGCCACTGTATCTGCTTAGCATGGATTGAGGCCCAGCGACACCACCTTTCCCCCTGCACCACATCTTCTGCAAGAGTACCATCTCCATGGTCTCTGGTACTGCATCCTTAAAATAATGCTGCTACCTCACAGTTCCTGACTTAGTTCAAGCCACCGGCCCCTGGAGCATAGCTCCTTGGGGACAGCAGTGTGCCATGAAGTCCAGCCTCCAGCTGCACAGGGTGGCTGCCAGAAAAGGCAGGTTCCAACTCGTTTGTTGAGGCACAGCATGCAAGCAGGGCCACGGAGGAGTCAAGGTAAGATTCAAAAATTAGTTCCCTTTTTGTTAGCCGTGTCCTACAGAGTTTTTATTTTTTGCATTAAAGTTGTTACTGCAGCTTAGTGGGTTGAAAAAAACCCAAGAGTGACAGCTAACAAGCATAGCAAAGACAGAAAAAAAAAATTAAAATGAGTGCAAATTTCCCACACTGCATTTCTCCCTATTTTTTGGAGACAGTCTGCTGTTAAATTAATAAGCCTACTGCTATATGCAGTGGTTTTAAATATGAGCCAGTCCTACAGAATAATCAGATGCGATGGTTAGAAATAAGACCTGCAACTAGGTATGAGGCTGTATTGATTAAACATATATTAGGCCTCCCCCATTTTTGCATGAGGTAGAGATACACCCAGTTACTGTGCACACAAAGCTAACAAATAGGAACACAGCCTGTACACAAGGCCTAATTTCAACAGTGAGCTGCTCCAAACAGCTGTGCATAGCACCAAAAGGAACTGAATCCATAGAAATGCTGTTCTCAGCACCAGCGCCTACATACACATTAAAGTTTTGAGTCATATCTTTACTCCTGAAAGACCTAAGCAGCTTGATACTTAACCTCACACTCCAGGTGCCTCAGAGTTGCAAGACGGAGGCACCTGTGACACCTCAGGACCCTACTTGTTGGTTAAGTTTTGGCCTCTGAATGAAAAGCCAACTTTCACTGCTTCTATGTTATCTGCAACACTGCTGATGGGTTTCACAATGCCAAACACTTTAAAACTTTAGCCCTGAAGTTGCTCAGGCTTAACAGTTTGCCTGATCTCTTACTACAGCTGGGATGCAGGAAGGAGGGCAACCCCCAACACATAAGTACCTTTTCTAAGGAGTTCCATCAGGGTGTTTTGAGTCCGGTGCTATGCTTGATTTTAGGCCACCTAGTTCATTCAGCCAGCCCAGAACATTCTTGCTTCTACAACATGAAAACCGTGACATTCCTATCTCCTTAGCAAGCTGAATGCATCCTTTGAAGAAATCAAGTACTCGATCCACAAGACCATTTGGTACATGCAGTTCTTCCATAAAAATGTCAGAAGGGATGAAGAGATGGGAGGCCTTACCTGCCCCAGTCCCCCCAGCTTAACCTCAGATAACATCACCATTGTTGAACAGAAACACTGGGAGTGATTTTATCCACACTGGCTTAGCCGGGCCCTCCCAACCAGAGAGGAACACGGACAATATAGCAGGTTAAAGGAAGAAGGATAATAATGGTAAAACAAGCGCAAACACAGTACTTCAGCCCTTGCACTAAACATGGATACTTACCTCCCTCCCATTTTTTTCCCTAAACTTTCTGTTTCCTAACAGGCTCTTGTTTACATCCTACAGTAAAAGCCAGGTGCTACACTCCTAAGGGTGAAACATAACTTGAAGATCTGGTAAGAAGACTTACAGTAACTTTTTACCAAAGCCAACCACAGGCTGCTGAACTGTTCACACCCACCGAGTAAACTGCCACAGCTCCGCCTGGCCTTCAGCCTGGCTGTTCCCCACCACAGCAAGCACGCAGGAACCACTGATAGCCATAGTCTACAAAGTTCATTCCTGTTCACCCAAAAATAAAAGCCAGAGGTCCTGGTTGTTCCCATTTTGTCATGAAAACTTCTCTGACAGGAACTGACGTTCTCGTTGCAAAGTCTCACCTCAGCCCCATAGGCAGAAAATCTTGGCATTCACTGCATTTAAGACAAATCTCAACGAAAAGGACTTTACCAGTGTGAGTCTTTTCCCCTTGACGTGATGACCAGATACTCTCAATATCTATGAATGACATTCTGACACTATTAAGTTAAGACTCTCTGTGATGCCATTCACAGCTTTTTATAAAAACTGTTTATTAGAATAAGGCAAGAAATGTCATCTGCATTTGTCTCCAGCCCACCAGGGTCTTCTCATGCTGGAGAATATAAGTTAAAGATTAGCTGAATTTTGAGCAGCTCATTTTAGAAGATTAAAATTACCAAGGAGATTTTCCAGCATGTAATAATCATCGTCTCATCAATGCATTCTTTTCAACTACCCAATTACTGCCATATTTAGATTACTCCCAGAATTGGGAGCTGGTATTTAATTACCATGTTTCACTGTGCTTGTACATCCTTAAATCTGCAACACAGACATATCACTTATAATTAACTTTGCAGTGGGTCCAGTGTCAAAGACTCCCCTCTCTCAGCTTCTCAAAGTTTTACAAGTCAAAAATTGCCTAATGCATGATAAATAATGCAGGCCCTGTTTATTCCATGCTGGGTGCAATTTTGTGCTGGAATTACAAGCCTCCTTGCCAAAAACATCCTTGATTCTCAGGCTCGGAGAAAGTAATTGGTACCTCACATTCTCCCCTTTTTTGCACCAATTAAAACCTGCAGGTGCACTAATGTTGTCATCTGGAATCTAGCTGGTACATCAGAGGTTCTTTTCACCAAATGTGTGCTATTAGTAAAATCGGCCCATCAGGGGAATTGTGAATGCTCTGTTTGCTGTTACAGTGCTCTCAAGGCCTTCCAAATATTTTACTAATGCAAGACCAGAAAATAAATTTTTACCTCTAAAGTAAACATAGTTTGTCATAAAAACTTACCTTCAGTTGGAGGTAGTATACTTTCTCACTCACTCGAAGTATATTTGAAGCAGGCAAATCATATCTTCAGGAGTGCCTCAGATTTAAAGGCCAGACATGACTATTAAAGTCATCTACAATCTCCTGCTGAACAGAGACTACAAAATTTCTCTTTAATTTGGTGTTAGGTTTTTTTTTGAAGTCTATTTTCTCTCTGAACTAGAGTGCTTTCCAAGAGAAATAAAGACTCTCACCAATCTGGAGATAGGTAGCAGAAAACAAGAGACACTGATGTCAGTAGCAAGCGTGTGCTTTGGTTTAAAAACGCTGATACTTCGCTCACAGTTCCAGTGAAGGAAAAATCCACCTGCATTTTCCAGTGACCAATCTTGCCTTACTACAGAAGGTCTTGCTTACACCATGAGACAACGGCTCAAAAGTACTGGTCAGGTTTCCCAAACATGTTGTTATAATCGTTTGGGGTATTTTTCCTACTCTATTATATGATGAAACTACAGTAGGCACCATAGCACTATATGCAAGGCAATATATCTACTTTTATGGGGAACAAATACCACTTCAAGTGATCTCCCGACAAGACTGGCTGAACCGGAATTTGGAAAACTCAATTCTGCCATCATTCCTTAAGGAACTTCCCTCCCCAGCCTCTAACACAGAGGTGCGAAATCTCTCCACTTTATTTAGCTTCAAAGGTCAATCCCCATTTAAGACTCAACAGTAGTCCCACTAAAACCTTGCTAGACTTTGGGTATTTATTTAATCATTGAAAGAACTGTTCTTTTGCAGCATATTTTACAGCTTAAGAGACCTGACACTGAAACAGGAGGACATCCAATACTTCAGATTTCTGCTCAAAAATCTATGGCATACAGCCCTGAAAAGGTTTACACTGGTCCCAAGTCCTTCACCTATAAAAAGGTGTTCTGGTTGAGTAAGATGCCTGAAGTAATTAAAGGATTAGCAATATCTCCAGGGCACAACCTTATTTTGCAAAAGGGAGCCAGGAGCTGTACATTTTCAAAGGAGTGGGACGCTAAGAGGGATTTTCTTTTTCCCAAACACAATGAAAACGATACTAACCATCCAAACGGATTTGGGCAGAAGGGAATGAGGCCATGGCATCCTGTATCATGGCACGTACCTCCTACTATGTGGGGAGGGGCAGTGTTTGTACCAGACCCCCTTGTTCTGAATACAGGAAAGGACATTCCTTCCATGCTCCCAACTGTCTGCAGGACATCTGCAAAAGTGTCTGTCCCCATCCAGCCCCATACAACTGTGAGTGTCAGTTCTATAGAAATGAATAAATAAAATTGTATCTGAAAATGGCATTAAATAGTTTGCTGATTTTAAGTTATCAAACTGAACAGGGAAAAGTTAAGCAACAACTGAATTCTTAACAACTTTCTACAACCAGAGATGACTATAAATTGTACAATGAACAGTGTGCACCTGGGAGGGAATTCTGTTTGCACAACATGCAGAACTGAATAAGTGGTTCCTGAACACATCTGCACACCTCATAGGGTAACACATTGTTTAATACTCTCAAACAATTCTTATTTTGCCATGAAGCATGTACAGAATTGAATAAGGAAAAAAAACTCAAACAAACAAGAAGTATCAACAGACTGGAAAACAAATACAAACAAATACAGTAGTAAGTCAATCCTGACTTTCCTGCATGAAAAACACGTCAGTATTTTACTGAACTTCATAGACTTGAAGATTCATATATAATTTTTAAGGGAGTGGGGGACAGGATTACCAGATCAGAAAATTGAAAATAAAATGTAGCCCCCTTATCAACTATTGTCTGGGCCATGTAGGAGAGAGTAGAGTTGAGTATTTTTACACCCAAAGCGGAATTCTGTAAATGTCACTTGAAACTACAGGAAATTTTCTTGAAACTTCAGTTAACCCTTCTTATACTGCGGCTGCAGGGAGGGGTGCCTGGAAGTAGAGGGAGAGAGACCATCCGCTTATTCTTTCTAGCTCATGATGTGTCAGCATCCATGCTGAAATGCTCTTGAATGCACCTAAACTGGGTCACCAACAGCAAAGATATTTCTGTGTAAGCCAGGCAGAACACACATACGTTTGGGACAGGGTTCTGTTCTGTTCTGTTCCACCAGGGCCGAGTTCCAGATACTGAACTGCTCTCCAGGCAGAGTAGTCCAAACACACTCAGGAAGACTAAGATCTCAAACAGACTTTACAGTTAATTGTTTTTACATGGGGTGACTTGGATCAGAGTTAGAACACCTAACTTCCAAACACCCAGATTAGAACTGGATGTTAGATACATCTCTGTTCAATTTTTTTTTAATTCGGTGAACTGAATAAATACGAATCCTGCTATCTCATTTTCACATTTTAAATTATTCCCAGCTTTACCTTGCTTACTCTGAAGGCTCCAGTAAAGCCTCCAGGGGCTAAAGCAGGAAAGACAGACTCTAAAACAGCCGCAAAATGTTGTAATGTTTTGTTGAAATAAAAGCTTTAGTGTTTACAGGAAAGAAGAGGTCTTCATTTTCTGCAGGATTCCACAGCTGCCAAGATGTCTTGCAAAATGCTGTTTCTGTTTTCCTTACTAACCTAGAGAAAGAGAAATTAAAACTGATGTGATTTGATGAATAGCCTCTATACCAGTGTTTACTTCAAAAACAATCAAAGCAGAAATTTAAATGTGTTTCTTTTTCAGTGCAGGAATTTTGAGTGTCAAACACCTGCCTCCTTCTGCTACTGAGAACACAATATGCTAAACCCACAAACATACATAATTGAATATTCAATGATCTTTTTCATTTAATTACCCATGGCATTTTGCAGTATTATTCAGGGCCTGAATAACTAATGAGAATCACTCAAAGAACCAGCATGTACTTTTGTCATTACTAGAAATCCTTTTCAACCACCAAATTTAACTTTCCCACTATAAAGTATTCTTATGCCTTCATTACTTGCAAGGGTTGTATTTATTAAGATGACAGACCAAGTCAAAAACATCTGCAAAGAAAAAAAAAAAAAAAACAGGCTTAGAAGCATACCTCTGCACTCTGAGAAACCTTAGTACTGAAGGATAGAAACACCTTCAAAAAGAAATAAGAATACTTGAGAAAGCTGACGTCTTCTGTAGCATGCTGAGAGACAGCTTTGGTTGACCAGTCCATGAAATGCTGGGCTTTAAGACCAGCATATGTGAAAATCCATGTAGTCCACTGTCCTGTCTTTTGCTGGGCCCATGTGCATTCCAGCACATACGGATCACTGTAAACTACCAACCAAACGCTTGTGCTTGCCAGTGAGCTCAGCTCCTGGGGGTAGAGAGCTGGAGGGCCTCTGTGTGTGTAAATCAGCCCTTCTTGACAGACCAGGTCCTGTCCAGAGCCCAGTGACCCATAGTGCCATGCATTACTAACTCAAACAAAACCTGGGGAGATGACTGGGGTGGCAAAGGGTTAAGAAGCAATCGTGAAGGGTCAGCAGAAGTCTTATTTTAAAAACTTAAAGAAATGTTTCCCAATGTTCAGACCCCTAGAGAGTGCAGGAAGGGGAGACACAACACTGTGCACAGCATAAAACTCTCTATCAGTAAGGTTTTCACTGCACTCCCTGTTACCTGCATTTAAGATCTGAGCACAAGAGTTCGTATCCCTCCTAGTACTACAGGTCAATAATGAACAGGAGGAAATATTATTATTCAACAGGTGACAATCCTACCTCAAGAATTTGACCCCAGGAGCCTACCACTTTTTACAGTCAAGGACATCCTATCCAAATGCTGGAAACCAACACAGTAAAAGCTGTGTTGTCTGTAAAAGCTACAGATAATGGTCTCACCTACCCCACTTGAATTCAAGACAGCAGATCAACATGTGACTAATGAATAAGTGACATTAAAAAAAAAAAAAAAAAGGAGAGGGGGAGTAATGAAAGGGAAGATCTGCCTGAAAATGTCACTGGTTTTACTGAGAATAATTCCAAGCCTGTTCTAAGATAAACAGAAAACCTCACAGTAACAAAGAGAGCAAGACAACAAAGAATGCTCTTCAGTAAGGCTATTGAGAGATCCCAAGGTAAACAATAACCAGCACATATGAGCCAAGCTCTAAATCTCACAGCAAGTGTACTGATATCCTGACTTTCAAAGAACCTTCTGCGCATTTAATAGCTCTTCCCACTCTCTCACAGCCAACAAAAACAATACTACATTTTATCTATCCCTTTTCCATACCTACATGCCAGAAGTCCAGTGAGAGCAGCAGAGAAAAAGTGCCAAGCGCTGGGAAATTTTCACAACTGTTTTACAAACGCTTTATAGATATAAGTCTCCTCTTAAGATCTGGAGACATTCTGTGCAGGCAGCTTTCCCAGAAAGAACAAATCTCCCAGTATCTGTACTGCATGTACAAACAGATGGGTACAATTTTAGGGAGTTGAAAATAACTGTAGATGCTGCTTATACTAAGCATTTAGGTAATGTGGAGGAAATTACCACCTAGACTCCAAGCAGGCAACCGCAGAGGACAAAAGCTTTCTTCCCCTGTTAAAAGTACTGTGAAGGAAACTGCTCATCTACAATCTGTTCAAATGGAACTTTTTCGTCTCATCCATTCAGCTACTTTCTTTCTTAATAGGCATATGCAACCAAACTTCACTAATGGGTTTCACAGAAGCAAAATTAATAGATGGGGAAAATGGGAGAAAATGAGTATCTGCCAGCTGCTAAGGATAACCTGATCCTGTTCATGACAGCATGTCTGCAAAACTACACAGACACAGGCAGTGCAAAAAGAGCCTCTGCAGTTTCACTGTAAAGTTTAGTACTCATCAAAATGGAATCGGGCAACAATAGAAAGAAATGTGTTAAATATCAGAGCTCCTATCGTTAAGTGCCCTAAACATAATAAATTAAACATTTGGGAACAAATGCTCAACTGCTTTTAGGGCATCTGGGCCCATTTACACCAACAAAATAAGCTTTCAAGACAGAAGGGACTGTAAAACCCCAAACAGCTGTCTCTGTGCTCTTGGCACCAAACATCAGAACTGTCCTTGTGACACTAAGAGAAGGATAAAAAAACTTTGCTGAGCTACTTGAACACAGCCTATCTCCATTTTAAGTGATAAAGCAGCCAGCAGGTTTTGGAAGGTAGCCTCCTATTTCTTTACACTTCCAGGCACCATAAAAGTTAGTAAGAAGTTTGGACACTCCAGGTTCTCCCCATGCCACAGTCCTGGAAGAATATGTGAGCTGGTGATTCAACATTCACTTCAGCTACTAACACTTCTGACTGCCCACAGGCCAGTTCTGTTCCTCGTCATGCACATGTTCTAACTGGTTGGGAAAGAGCATATAGTGTGTCACTGGAGCAAGAGAGACAGATGCTCCCCTGCACAAGACTTCAGCATAGCAGGTCTGTGCCACTGGGGAATGACTGCAGTCTGTCACGCATTTCCCATCCATCCTTTTGGCCAGTGGATTCACCAGAGAACTCTATTTAATCAAAGAAACCTGCATGTCCCAATCTCAGCAGCATGAACAGGATGGGTCATTCTTGTAGTAAAGATTTTTTAGCTAGAGAAAACACTGCTCTGTTGAAACTTACAGAAATACTTTTTCTGGCTGCAGTCAGCACCTGGGAGAAGGGTGTGTCAGAACACTGACATGGCTAAAAACCCGGTGTTGAGTAGCACATGCCCTGAGAACACCACCTGATAAAAAGAGACAACAGGAGCCTCAAAAGCTTCCTTGAAAAGCCAAATGCTATTTTCTAGCACCCCTTTTCCTCCCAAGAGGAGGTATGCACACACTGCTCTCCTGCTGTGACTGCAGCCTAAGCATTGAGTGACTGTGGCTCTCAGTAAGGCTTCCCCATTCTCTCTTCCCCAGTCCTACCGCTATACAGCAAGTCATACAGAACTCATATTCGTGTTACAGAATCACAGAATATCCCGAGTTGGAAGGGATCCACAAGGATCATCAAGTCCAACTGGTAAGTGAATGGCTCCTATGGTGATCAAACCCACAACCTTGCCATAACTAGCACTGTGCTTTAACCAGCTGAGCTCATCTCTGTTCAACATCTCTGTTCAGCAGCCTGACAAGGAACATTCATCAGGTTGGTAGTGGAAAACCTGGGGCTTCATATCTGAAAAGAACAGCAGGAGTTGAATGCTTACGTAAGAAAAGGAATCTCATCTTTGCTCCTACAATTGCTTTAGCACTTAATTAAACCGGCATTTAATGTAAAAACAGAAACTACAGCTGATGATGGGATCCCCAACTAAAAGAAAGCTGAGGAACCTTTCTGAGCACTGCAGTTTTTTCTAACCTTCCTTGAAGAGGAAAGGTAGATCAAAGGAGTGGGGGATGCATTTAGCTTGGTTTTGTGAAGTATCCAGGACACTTACAGATGTTAAGGAAACCTCATGCATGTATTCTTACGAACAGACTACGTTTTATTGTGTTAAGTTTTTGAGATCTTCCCTGCAATTGATCAGAACTGCACTTTGAGGCCCTAATATTCTGAAAATTAAGTCTGTAAAAATAACATAATGAATTCCAAAATTGGCTCACTGACTCCAGAGAAAGTATTCTGCATTTACAAGCGTCTTTCTTCTATAAATCATTTCTGCAAACTCCACTGCTGCCTTTTTTTATTTTTTTTTTCCTTGAATACGATTACTGGTAATACTTCTGCAAGCCAGTCTGGTAAAAAAAAAAAAAGCTTAAAAATCTGACTGTACTTTAAAAGATTTAACTCTGAGGAATAATGAATACTTATGCAGCAATAATACTACAGCAAGAAAACCTTTTAAAACAACTATATCATTACTTCTGCAGCCCCTCACAAGCAAAGCCAGCTGTGTGAGCCTGCTACATCAAGTGCCAAATGGGATTTTTTTTTAATAATGTGAGCACCTGCCCATTAAGAACAAAATGGAAACTAAAAAGCTTATTTCATACAAGCTACCCACAGCTATCAATTGGTAGCAACAGTTTTCTAAAAGAGCCAAATACAAAGCAGTAACCTAGAACAGAAGGCTCTTTAAGGATATTAAATATTACTCACATTGAACACTTTAACATCTTTCCTACTTCTTATTTCTTCAACAAGATCCAGTGGCTTTCCCTTAGGTATTGGAATAGTTCCAAGCACCACAGTCCCTGAGCCAGCCAGCGTTTGACGAACAGCTTGAATAAAAGGCTGGCTGAAGAGTTCCATTTTACCAATCTCATCAATGACACAAATTCTTTTCTCTGTATCACCACCATGGTTTACCTGTGGAAAAATGCATCAAGAGACTGTAAACAACACAGAACTCAGAACAAGCAACAGAAATAATTGCTGTGCTGATAAAAGAAATACCTCCTAAATAAATAAATTCAGTTGTAATACTGGGGAAAGTGGAAGAGTCAAAGCTACTCCTGGCAAATGACAGACTTGGAAATCTACCATTTTTATTTCAGAACAGATTTTTTGGAAGGATAAAAATATATGTACATTATAAATACCAACTACAATAGGAAATATCCATAATATTAGATTTCCTCCAAAGCAGAATTCTCACAATGTTCCCATATGAGCTACGTGACACTTAAGAACTGTACTTTGCCTACTAGCAGCTCTCAATCGTTCTGAGGGTCACCAATATTTATGAACTGTATTCTTCCCATCAAATTATGCATTTAGAACAGATCAACAGTCACACAAAACAAGTATTTAAAAAAACATATTTCCACTGACTCTAGATTTGGCAGTTCCTTCTCTTTTAGTTGGGTTGAATTGAAGGAGAAGCACTTCTCTCAGAGCAACTGGCTTTCTTCAAAGCTACCTGGATAACAACCAAGCCATTGCAAGCCCTTCTCAAATCAGAACAGTCATCTTCCAATTCTTTGTTGAGATATACCTTATTCTATAATCCTAGCCACCTTCCTGGATTGCAGGAGAGGTATCCTACTAGCAATTAACCACATTTGTGGGTTGTTTGCTTTTTTCATGAAGTGAATACTGTTCCAAAAGGTACTGTGCTGCAGGTTGGTGTAAGCAGCAGTGAAGTCTGCAAAAAAAAATAGGTAACTGCTCCTGAGGAAAAAGCAGCTCCTGAAGTTGAGGAACTCTTCAACAGAAAAAGAAGTGCAATGCCTACCCTGTTTTGGTAAACGTAACTGAGAAGTGTTCTCCATTATTTACAGAAGTGAGGAGGAAATCAACTAAATTCAAAACATCACTACGGATCTGTAAATATGTACCAAAACAAGCCATATTGCACAGAATCTAAAAAAAAAATAGAAGCATTCTCCCCTGTGAAGGCAAAGTATTTGCTTCTGGGAAAGTAAAAGAACTGTATAAAATGTATAAATCTTTTCAAGCTGAGTCCCTACTGAGTAGCTGTTTTATCTAAAATCCTTTCATAGATCAGTGAGCCAAAAAGCCAATACCAGACACTAGGTCACACACTGAGAAACACAGCATTTTGCTCTGAAAAAAACTGAAAAAACTTTATCAGTCCTGCCTGGTAAAGTTTGCAGAACCAGAGAGATCTTCCATTGCAGGATCTACCCCATTCTCACTGGAGCGAATAAAGCCTTAATAGCTGCCCTCAGGACTAAATGGCCACGTGCTCATTTCATGCTGCTCTCTGATCAAACCAGACCATACCTATGATTCTCCTGACCTCACTCTTCACTTGTCTCTTCTTGTTTCAGTTCTGTGATCTTCCTCACTCTCCTCTTCCACTTTGGGCCACCTACATGCATGACCACCTTCCCACAAAATTGACAAACAGCGCTTTCGGTGATCATGCACTGTGTAACCGCAGGCCCCAGTTCTTCCCTTCACCCTCTTGCACTTGCAGTAAGCTATATAAGAAACTGAAAAATTCAACACTGCTAACAATATTCTAGGAAGATCTCTCCTGGATTTCATATTAATTCAGTAGTGAGAGGATTCCAAATGCAGCACCGGCTAAATGAAGTATTTCTGTTAAACTATCTTTGTACTTACTAACTTCGTAAATACAGTTGCAGTGAAATTAAACATACAAAAATCGTTCCATTTTATTAATATTTTCTTTGTCCCTTGTACCAACATCTTTGTTTACCTACTGTCAGACTTTAATATTCCTTAACAAAACCAAGAATTGGATCCTCAATCTTATTCTTGCTCCTTGCACCTCTGTGTTTTTTTGTTCTAAGTTCATCAAAAAAGTCCCTTCTTTCTTGTCCCCTTGAACTTTGGCAGTGTAGAAAAATCACAACAGGATTTTTTTAATAGTACAGTTCAGCAGCTGCCGCACACTGTTTGTGATGTTATTGCCAAAACCAGATCTGTTCTTGTTTAATTTTGGAGAGGCGAAAGGTTGGAGTGAGAGAGGAAAGAGAAGGAAAAAGGCAGTAACGGAATATTAGCAGAAGGATAGGAGGAAGACTGTGTGCAAAGTCTTGTCACAGTCAGAGCACTCCTCATGCAGCAAGCTAAATCCCAAATAATGAGACTGCTTATTGTAAGTCTGCAGGTACTTCTACAGTGGTAATCAAAAATATCCACTCGATTACAGACACAAATGCTAATACTGGAAGAAGATAGAAATCAGAGGAAGTGAGGAAAAAAGGCTCTAAAGTAGAGGAGCAGCAAAAGTCTTTTTCTTGGACCCACGGACTCAATTCTCCATGTTAAGCCACTCGTACATTTTGTTTGCTTTCCCATATGTGAGATGGTGGCATAGGAAGAAACTTTCTACCAGCTGCCTCTTCAGGCCAAGGAGTGTCCTGCTTACAGGATGACATCAGATCAAGAAAAAGAAGAGACTGCAATCTCTGCAAAACCACAGTAATGACAAGAGAACAAGCCAGATTTGCCCCTCCAGCTTCCTCATCCCAAAGTCAATCAGAATCAGCAAAACCCAAGAAACAGGCCACTTATTATCAAAAAACTAGTGCTGTAGAAGGGCCTTCCAGTAACCCTGATCATCATAAAACACACATTTGTCAGCAGCTTTCATAGAATACTCACATTTCTTAGCAGAGGTAGAACCAACTGCTCAAAGGAAACAAGGTCTACAGCATATTGTCCAACCCGGTATTCACATCTTGAAGTAGAATTAGAACTGAAGTTGAAAAAGAGACACAAAATTCCTTCTCATTACTGAGTTCAGTGAGAATTCACTGCAATCATTTCAAGTGGATTTATGGGAATTTATCCAAATAAATCAAATGCCCTCAATTCTTCTAAGAAAGGAAGGGAAATAAACTCTGCAAACCATGCATTAAGTCATGTTGCAGATAGCTTGCTTTCAGATAATATTTATACCATAAGCTACCTTCATAACTATGCAAGCTCAAGTTTGAACAGTGTACGGAAGGACAATGGCATATAAAAGTCAGCAGGTATATTTACACTGAAATCAAAACTCACATCTGCAGTTCAGATCTTTGAATATGGTAATGTGAGACAACAGCCAGCATCACAGCAGAAGCCCAAATCTCAGTATAGGCTGCAAAACCCTTAAACAATCTCAAAAAATTCTCAGTTTGCATGTGCTGCACCACACTATCCTAAGTGAAACTCTGTTATTAGCAGAATGTAAATTATTTAGTCAAATCAACTCTGTCTGAATGAGGTGCTAAGGTCACACCCAGACCTAGACTAAGTTTTGCACAAAGTGGGAAAATCTAAGGTTAGAGAATCAGGAAAGACTGTGAGCTCCTCTGCACTTCAGTGGCCCCTCTCTTGAAACCCTCTTTTTCTTAAAATTCACATGTGAGTTTTGAGGGCCAGTCAATGGCTTTTTAAAGCAATCTTATAGGCAACTTCCCTTTTTATTTTCTACTTCTGTCTCCAAAAATTAGCCAGTGGAAACAGAAAAACCTTCCTCCTTGCCCGCAATAAGCTACTTATTGTATTCCAAAGAGACTTGGCCTCATAATAAAAGGCTTGTCAGTACTTACTCTTTATCTGGCGTACAATCGGCAACAAGAGAGAACACCCTCCCAGCACATTTTCAATATTTCAGTATGCAACAGAAATGCTGCCTACATATATAATACAGGTATCATCAGCCAGGACACAAGAACTAAACAATAAACCAGACCATGAAAGCCGTATGTGTGCTGGAAATCACCTTCTGGAAGAGCATTTAACATGCCGATGGATGGAACAGACACATAAAACAATAAGCCGCTTACAGTTATTAAAACCTCAGTACCTGACTCTTGATAAAGGTCCTCGGTTTCCAGACAAAGTGACGACATCAAATCCTGTTCTCCTGCCACCTTCTCTAACTTCCTCAGTGTAAAATCCATCAATGGGAATGCCTGAGGATTTTAGAGCTTGGGTTACTTTCTGGATCAAAGTAGTCTTTCCAACTCCTAAAAAGTAAAGAAGGGAAAAAAGCACAGACCATTAATCTTCTTCTGAACTAAAAGCCCATTTTTAAACACCACAGTAACGATTCAGTTCAGCAGGAACACTGATTACTTTTGAAGTTTGCAAATTATTTTTTTTTAATGGTAGGAAAGAACAGAAGCACCTTTTAAAGTTCATCCTGTACTGAAACTGTAAAGTTTTAGTAGCATTTAAGAAGTTCACAACAGAATGCTAAAAATATCCCAGGCTACCACTGAGCTTAGAAAGCGCACAGGCAGGCCACAAAACTTATCCCAAGACAGGTAAATACATGAGAGCCACACAGTTACACAACTGATATCCAAGCTTGCTGGAAGACTGACTGATGAATCTCCCTTTCTACCACTCATATTCACTACTTTTTAAGAACAGAGCTAAGTTTACCCCCTTTTTAGATCAAAAGGTCAAAGCTGACTGCTATTAACAGAAGCCTAACCGGCATAAAGAACACACTACTTTTACTGATGTCCTAGAAATCAAAAGCACTCGATGGCCCTGAGATACCAGGTCCAATTTGGCAAAAGGTATTCCCAACAACAGAAAAATGCTTCTTCTGGTAACTGAATCAAGAGACATTTTGACTAGACACAGAGAAAACCTTTTTTATTGTGAGGCCAATGAAGCCTGAAACAGGCTGCCCGAAGAGGCCATGGAGTCTTCACATTCTTTGAGGTTTTCAAGATGTGACTGGATACGGCCTTGAGCAAACTGTTCTGGCCTAACAACTGACCTTCTTTTATGCCTCCTGAAGTTCCTTCTTACATGAATTATCCTGTGACTCTTTAATTAATTTTCTTACCCTAAGACAGGTCCTTAAAATCCTCACCACCTGATGTCTCCTTGCACAGTAAACATCAGTCATGTTCCAAGCATCCTTTCAGGTCCCACAAGTGAGCTATTTCTTCTCCTTTCCATCCCTTGACAATCTCCTTTTAAACTCATCTTTATCACCTCTCACAAAATTTAGTGTTAACACTTTAATTTTAATCATTGCTCTAAAAAAATCAGAAGACAATCCTGCAGAATTAATTCCTGGAGACGAGGAACGTAGACCAAATGTGAGACGCCTAAAGATGCCAGCAGAAATCATTTCAACATGCACACACCAAATTTCTTCTTTAGATTTCAAGCAGATTTAGGAAGTACTTTCCTAATAGTCAGTATCAATGACAAAATACACTGTGACTTCAAGGGCATCCAGTCAAAGTTTTAAGTAAACTTTTCGAAATTAAAGAAAAGGGCTTTCTGGCAGATGAACAACAATAAAATAACAAATGTGGCACCCTCAGTATCTAACATCTTTCCAAGGCCTTGTCTCTATAAGCGAATTTATACTAATTTGGCTAAGTGGATTTGCTATCTCTAATTTGGTTACCGTCATTCAGTAAATTGCCAAAGAAAGCTAGAGCGATTCAAACTAAGTTTAAGAAAGCTTGAAGTTATACATTTAGCTAATCAAAACAGTACATTCAATTTCAGATAAACGACGAGAGACAAGGCCTAAGCAGGCCTAACCTCGGAGTCTTCCAGAGGGCTGCCTTTATTCAAGTGGATGGAAAGACAGAATGAAGGGGGTAGAATGTATTCCTATCTCAGCCTAGCAGCAGCATTTTAAATTAATTGCAGGCAACACAGGCTATCTGCAAGAGGTTCACAAAAAGGAAAATCAGGCACGCTGCTTTACTCCCACACCACAAAATAAATGTTTGCAATCATAATAACTAGTTAATTCCTTTATCAATCATATAGTTTAACCCTCACACTATACCCCACTCTGCCTCCACAATAATCTGATTCCCTTACCATGACGAACTACTCCAGTGCTTCAGTCAAAGCCTGCCCATCTGGGATATCAATTAATACCTATATCTGCACACCACTTAGGACGGAAGTGCTAAAATCACGACAACTAAGTTACAGAAAACGCGAGCTCTCAGAAATTATTAATGGATGCAGTTTACACCGAAACGGGATGAGATGTCCGGGAGGTGTTTTTTTTTTTTTTTTTTCCCCCCCCAACCCTGAACTGCAGGGCTGGAGCCAGGGACAAACCAGCAGCGTCTCTGGAGAAGTACACGACACAAGGGACGGGATGGAGAGATAACACGGCCTTTCATTAGGAACAAACTAATTAGTGCATTAGGAAGAGCTCTGACCCCCAGCACGGGCGGGGCGGGGCAGCTCCGGGCCCACACGCCGGGGGGAGGATGAGGGGGTGCCTGGGGGCAGATGTCGAGCCCCGCTGTAGCTGGAGGCGCTGCCGGGGCACTCCCTGGGAGTGGGGGCTGGTGGCGGAGCCCGGCAGCAGGTGCCTTGACCCGGCTCCAGGTGCCCCGCAGCCCCGCCGGCACCGTGCAGGGCCGGGCCCGGCCAAGCTAAACCAAGCTATGCCAGACCAAGCAGTGCCGTGGCCCCGGAGCAGCCCTTGCGGGCGCACCGCTTCCCTCCCGCACCCCGCTGCCCGGGCTCCTCCCGCCCCATTACCTGGGGGTCCCGTCAGAAACACGTGCTTGGACATGGCGGGGCCGCGCTCCGCCCTCTGCACCGCCCTCTACATCGGGCGGGGGAGAGGGCGGAGCGATCCTGCTCGGGGGGGGTTGGGGCTGGGGCAATCCCGGGGGCAGGGATGCCCCCGGGATTGCCCCAGCCCCAACCCCCCCCGAGCAGGGATTATCCGAAATCCCTGGGCAGGCGGTGCCCCCCCCCCACCCCCCGCCAGGGTCGTGGGGGTGGGCGGTGAGGGACGACGGGCCGTTCCCGGCCTGAGGCGGCCTCGGAGGCGGGGCCCGAGGGCGGGCGGGTGCCGTGGTATTTCCCATAAAATGGGCGGTATTTAAGGTTGGGGGAGGGGGGGGAATAGCACAACCTGATTAGTTTCCTAGATGAAGGCTAGCGTTTTCTTTGTCTGGTGAATTTGATCTGTGACATTGCTGGGTATGTTAATAGAATCTCAGGGTGTTAAGGTTTGGAACGGACCTTAAAGGTCATCCCATCCCAGCCCTCCCTGCCGTGTTCAGGGACACTTCCCACAGACTAGGTTCCTCAGGGCTTTATTTTATCCCCCGCTGGCTTTGAACACTGCCAGTGTTGGGGCATCCACAACCTCCCTGGGCAACCTGTTCCAGTTTCTCACCACCCTCACAGTAAAACATTTTTTTCATAATATATAACCTAACTTTCCCTTCTTTCAATCTGTAACTGATACGCCTTTTCCTATCACTACAGTTCCAGATGAAGAGTCCCTCTCCAGCTTCCCTGTAGGCCCTCTTCAGGTACTGGAAGGTTTCTATGGAGTCTCCGCTCCCCACATAACCTTCTCTGGGCTGGATAACCCCAACTTTCTCAGCCTGTCTTTGTAGCTGAAGTGCTTCACTCCTCTTATCAACTTCGTGACCCTCCTCTGGACTTGCTCCAACAGTTCCACGTCCTCCTTATGTTTGGAACACCAGAACTGTATGCAGTATTCCAGGTGAGGTCTCATGACAGCAGAGTTATAATAATGAACTCTTTCTAGAGCTTTTTACCTGTTACAAGTAAGAAATGTGCTCCAAGGTGCGGAAAACCTGTCAATTAAAAGAGGAATGGTTTGTCTGATATCTTAGCAGACACCAAATGTAGCAAGGGGGGTTAATATACAGCCTGGGGGTTGTTACGAAGCTGAGAGAACTGGGTCACAAATGAAAAGGTCTGGCAGGTTTAACTAAGACGCTGATAGACATCTGCATCCCAAAATCCTACATGCATATGGCCTCCGTATTTGTTTAGACTTGGGTATGGGGAGTGGTAGGAGAGCAGGGAAAAGGATTTTTGTGTGGATGACTGTGGTGCACAGGCTTCTGTCTGGGTGAAGTAATGCCACAAAGATGTACTGGTGTCTGCCTGGCCATAAACACCAGAATGGTTACCCAGAAATCCTGGGCTATGAAAAGAATACATCCCATTTTCTGCTTGCTTCAGCTAGAATGGATCTCTTCAGGTTCAGCACATCTTTGTTTGGCTTTCATTTTCAGTAGTTTCCTGAGGAGGTAAAGGTTATTCATCATTTTCACAAAGATAATGAGTATCCTTGGCAGCCAAATGACATATGACAACAGCAGGTATACTGCACGTCACAATAGAGGGGTATTTCCATAAGTGGAACAAAATATTTTTGATGTGCACGTCCCATATGGCCACTATTCCTTGTATTAGTCAGGTAGTAGGAAACATGCATCCTCTTCAACTGTGGCCTTAAGGGAGATGAAATCCATATTGCCCATAAGCCAGGAGAGTATCCTTGTAACCAGATTCACAGGCTTTTCCTATTAAGGCTTAGACATGGTAGAGCCACATATTCCAGCCAACTGGGCCAGACAGAGAACAGTTAAAATATTAATGCAGATGAAGGAAGACCTAGTTCCTGCCCTCAGTGGCATTGTAAAGTCAGTGGATATGTTACATATAATCAATTCACTGGGTGTGTTAGATATAATCAGTACACTTATGTTGTAAAATTTGGGGAGTCATCAGAAGCAAAACTCAAGTGTTACTTCTGAGCAGACCAGGGATTGTTCTTACCATAGTTTAGAAATTTTGTACATTTCTTTGGCCTAACTGCTTCACTGGATGTGGCCAGAGGTCATTTCAGAGGGGAGATAGTAACTCCAAATTCTTGTTTGCCTGTTCTCTGCTTTCAGCAATGATTCGATTCAGTTAATTTATCTTTGTCTTAAACATAATGACTTTTATTTCTCATTTAACATGAGTAGTGTGGAACATGTTTCATGCTTAAATACTTAATTTAAAAAACTGGACAACTCTAGCATGCCTCTTGTGGGGTTGTAGGGTCGAGAGATAACAAGACAGCTTCTCTTGTCATCTAAAATGAAAACTGTATTTTCATCGTTTACATTCCAGTATTTTGGTTTGATTGGTTGTTTTTTTTTTTTTTTTTTAGAATCAATGAAATCATAATGTTAACTTACAGCTTCCTGCGGTGTTTGTCAGGCATCTTTAATCTAAAGAAAGAACCAGGGAGAAGAACTGCATATTTAATAGACTATTAACACAAGAACAAACGCTTTATAACTGGCTACTTCACCCTTGCCCTGAACTTCCTGTGCAGAGCTTACTGTGATTGATTTTACAGGTATGTTTTCTGTATGATATTAAACTATTTCAGTCTATTGGCTGGTCGCCCAGGCAGGCCACATAAAGGGACCCAGACAATGTTGTTTAGTTCCACATAGAGTTTTACTAGGTTTTACAAGTCAACCTTTCATTTTCAGAAATGTAAGTGGAGAATTTTAAGGCTGTCGCTACTGTTTGACGGAATCCTTGTTCTCTGGTACCATATTCTAAGAACTATTTCCTCCTATTTTCAGATAGGAGGAGGACTCTCAGAGTTATTTCACTGTGTGGCTGAGACCTTCGTCTTACAAAAAATGTGTGAATAAAGTAGTTGCAGCACCAGGGCTTAAATTAGTTAGCATTTCCCTTTGATTTCCTTAGTAATTTCTACCATAAAATGTTCTCTCCTTCTGTATGCTCTGTCTAGGTCGAAGTCATTTAAAAGCACCAAAACCAGGAAGTAGTTATGCCAGTTGTGCTTTTGTAGAGTTTTGCTTTTAAGAGGACCTTAATGTTTGCTGAATGAATTGGAAATTTTGTGTATATTTTGTCGAAGATTTACTATTTAAGTTTGTTCCTTTTGATATCTTTATTCTATAATCCAGTGACTGCACAGAAGATGCAGATTGTTCAAGAAGCATGAGCTAGAGGGTGTGTGTTGTCTTCTCTGTATCTGTGTGCTGTGACCAGTAGTCTTTGGAATCAGCCCGTGTGCTCTCCTGATCTTGGGATTTTTGCATTCTTGGCTGGAGATGGTTAGATGAAATAAGCAGAAATAGCACATACCCTAGCAGTGTGGATAACTCTAAAAGAAAACAAGTAAGTAGGTTTTACTCCTTCCAGGATGAGAAGAGAAAAACCCAGCTTTTCCTGTTCCAGTATGGGTTGGTTAATTAGTAGTTATTTATTCCTAAGAGGTTCCCAGCTCAAAATATTTTCCTGACCAACTATGTAGACTCTGGTTTTGCTAGGTGAGCATCAGTAAAATTCAACTCATGATGGAATGAACTGTATGATTGGGCAAGGCCATGAAAGAAGTCTTTACAAAAAGACTCCCCCCAGGGGCAGGCTCTGATTCTGGGTGACGGTGGAGACTTTCAGAGGAGCTGCCAGTCATTGTTACAAACTGTTAGCTAAGCCTGGGGAAGTTTGCATTTATTGCTGCATGTTCACTAAAAAAAACTTGGATGGAGCCCTAGACTTTTATGTTGAATGGGGTAAAATTAATTAACTGCAAGTTTCCGGACCAGTGACTAAGAAAAGAGGTCATTTATGATATTTATGGTATTCCCTAGAGTAGAAGCTGGAAGGAATGAGAGTGTAATCTACCATCTCTGACCTGCCTCAGTAGGCAGGAGTTTACATTTCAGCACTCTGCCTCAAGGAAGGCACGGTACCTTGTTACAGTTTTAGTCCTTGGTTTATTTGGTGTTAGGTTTTGGAGGTTTTTCCCCTGATGGAAGAGAGAATGGTTAGGTTGAAACCCTTTTCTTTCTCTCCAACAGAACTTGTCTTTTTGGTTCACAGTACCTCAAGTTTGTACGGCATTTTACTTACATCAGGATAGGGAAGTATACTTTTTTAAAAATAAAATTTCATGTTAGAGAGTTCCTTATTTTGTCCTTGTTTTCACCTGCAGAGAATGGTCAGACTTACAGACAGTGGGTCTGGCTGTATGCCACTGGCCATCTGATGATATTAGTGATGGTGTCTCTGAGTTGACTTTTGTTTTACCTGTGGAGTAATCATGGCATCAGCAGGTGTCTGAGAGTAAACACTGAGCATCTACAGCCTACCAGTCTTTAATCTTAAACTTCCAAGAGAGATAAGCCATTAGCTACATGCAGGGCTTCCTCTAGATAAAAACTTTGGTACTCCCTCTGTCACAGATTTACCTTCAGAACTTTTTGTGTGGGTCATGCAGTAGAAATCCTTTGTGTTCCACCAATAGTTGTGTTCTCCAAACCAGAATAAATTCTTGAAAGTATTTCCTGAAAATATCCATAAGAAAGAAATTATATCAAAAGTTACAAACACCCTCTGTATATGGGGTATATTTGTGAAATTTAATTTACTACTCTAAACAGAGAGCCATAGTCCTCTGTCTCTTAGCAGCACAGCATTTTGAACCTTCTGGGCAGTTGCAGCCAAAGAGGAAAAAGTAAAAAAAATCTAATATGTTGCTGTACATTCTTTCACATATACATAGCTGGAATAAGAGGAAGACCCTTTTAATGATCTGAGGGGAATAATGCAGCATAAACAAAGTACTAATTAGGCAGGAGAGAAGTCACAGAGAGCTTAGCCCACTGCATAAATCCATAGGAAACCAGGTTTCATTTTCCTTTTTCTATGAAACAGTTTGCTTGTTTGCTCTTTTAGTCTTCCACCTCATACTTCTGAAAAAGAAAATAGTGTCCTTGAAACTGCATGACATTTTGTATAGTATGA